CCGCCGGTTAAAATTTCATAGGTTTTCAGTCATTTCTCTAAAAAAATGGGAGGAGGAGCAGAAAAAGATGGGTTCAGGAGTGCTCCTGAACAGAAAATATTTTTTTTCTATTCAAAAATGAAGTCAACTAACATGCTTACGGAATCAATTATTTTTCCCTCTGCTACTGAACTCATTTTAATTGAAACTTGTCAGGCTGCACACATTCATATGATTTAGGTGCCAACAAATCCTTGATAATCTTACCTTAGGAATTCATTAATCCCTTGTTCACTGAAAGAGCCTTTCAGGAGGGCAAATTTCATCTTTCGAGCATTAACGGCTGCCATAGCTGGATAGCCAAAGCCACCAATACCCAAGGAATTTTCAAGATCAGACTGTGCTCCAGCTTCTGTCCACACCCACCTTAGATAAAAAGAATTAGGTGTGTATCTCACAGCAACCATATAAAATCACTTTTGTCTACAGTTTCAGATGTTGACAGTTGCAAGATGCAGAGAAAAAAGGGATGAAGATCACACGGCATCATGTCAAAACCAGCTGTTTACCTCAAGCCTCCCCTACTCCAGTTTGTAACCAGTCTAAGCTAGTCCATGCTGGCCAACAGCATCTCAATTATTGAGCTTCTATTTTCATTTCGATAGGAGCATATATTGTCATTCCCCCCCGCTCCCGCTCCAAATCTAAGTGCCTTCTGCTATAGCCTGTAACTTACCCCCACATCTTCTTTTTGTATTTGTCTGCCATTTTCAACATGACTTCCAGATAGGCATTTCTACCTGCGGCTCCTGTTTAACAGAAATCATAAAAAGGTTACATTTGAGGCCAGTATAATAATGCCAAAGAGAGGGGAAAAGGCCTTTTGTTTCTTACCTGTGTCAAGTATATGGGGCAAAACAGAAATAATACAAAGTTGGTGAGTGTCACATGTTTGCTTTAAGACATCTTCGTTAATAATCTAGGAGAGATAAATAGATTACTAATTCAAAATCCTAGTAATTAAAGAGTAATAACTAGATTGGTTGATACAACTACAAATAGTCACATTCTCCTACAAGGTTTTCTCTTGATCTATCTTTCTTAACATGGTTGATGTATTTGCTCTGATATTGGAGTTTCTATAGATAATAGCTCAGACATTAAGACTTAAATAATTTTGGTCTATGCAGCTGAGTGCCAAAAGGATGCCAGAACAATTAGGGCATATACATCATGCCATTCTTGCTCATGACCTTTCAAAGAGGCACTTTGTCCCAAAGCTCTTTGCAAGCAAACGCCAATGTATAAATGCAGCTAATGTGAAATAAGGGCAGACTTTTCAAGAAAGGGCTTGAAATTTCCAACTACATGAATTTAATGAAGGCAATAATGTAATTTTCTCTCTGTTAAGATCTTTTGGGAGAAGTACAGTAAGAAATCAAGCTTAGCTTTATTACTCATTTTCAAAGAAAACTTTGATTCAAACACTTCTTTAATTTCACCAATTAAAAAAAAAATCATGATAGTAAATTTGGGTACCAAATTATGATAGCTATGTAGCCAAAGTAGGACTAATGAGAAATAGGGGGTTACCACCATGCACACATTTGTAGAGGGGAAATACTAAGAGTTCTGTGACCACAAAATGACTGGGGAAGGGTCTGAAATGGAATATGGAGTATTTTGAAAGACAGCATGGCTGGCTCACTGAACAGAAGCATTCCATACCGCAACATTTTGTTGCAGTTTCCACAGGAAATAACTGCTTGATCAGAATAAGGATACCTCTAAGAGCTCAGGGGGTGGTGCATTCTCTGAAAACAAATCCAGAGCCCGAGCAACAATATCTGATTTTGTCCTTCCACCATCATAGTCAACAGGTTCTTCTCCCTTCTGGAAAATTTTTATTGTCGGAAACCCGCGGATCTGGAACACAGAATCAAAGAATTCAAATCATACTGACCACAAGAGGTAATCACTTTGGCATTAGGTGGGTTAAAAATTAAAATAAAACAGCTCGTAGCTTCACTGTATGTCTGCATAATCCAAATTCTCTAAATAGCAGGTACATAAAACTATCATAGAAATCATTACGTATATGACCCAATGTTTTAAGAAAAAGTTCCTGATATGGTTTATACAAACAAATTGTGCTCTCACACTTGCATTTATTTAACAATACTCTAATATATAAATGCTTAAAACATTCCATGAAAATATTGTTGCCATCTTACAAAGACCATATTCTCCCTTCTGTATAATCTGGGAGACAGTGAATAATAAAATAACAACATTACTACTTGCACTAACTACTCACCCCATATCGGCTGGCTAATATCTGGTGCACAGTAGCATCTACAGCAGCTAGTTTAACCTTTCCATTTGTTTGCTCCTTCACTTCAGTTGCAGCTGATGCCCATTCCGGCTCTAAACTGTGGAAGGAAACATGTTGTTATATGTGGGAGTTTTCCTTTTAAAAAGAACAGCAATAACCTACAACAGCATTTTACAATTAAAATCACTTTTAAAATGGAAGTAAAGTGGTTAAATGATAGTTCCAAGATGATGGTTGGGTTCAAAAATTACTAGATTGGTTGTTGCTTACATAATTACAAAAACATGGTTTAAAAACTTTTACTAACAGATCACAACGACTACTGAATACTCCTCAAAAGGGTCATATGACTTGAAGTCCTTGAGACAGCTTGGACTACATTAGCCCCAACAACCATTATTAATGATCAGATTCCAGGAACCAGGATGCCCAAAAGTCCTACTCCTGCTACAAATAATTAGATTTCTAGCATGTGTTGTCTTAGGTGACAATAGAAGAGTAATGGGTACAGAGGAGCATTACATTAAAAGCAAAAGAAGAAAACCCCATGTTACTCGAATGTGGCTCATGTACCTCCAGAAGTCACAAGCTGGACGCAAGCTGTATTTCTGTATCTGAGCATTAGTTCCACTGAATTAAGTGGGGCTAACCTCTGAGTAGATTGCACGATAAGTGTTGTTGCACAACTCTGAGTACATTCAGAAGTCTTACTTTTTGCAATGTCCACACCAAGGAGCATAAAATTCTACCAGCCAGACACTGTCACTGTCCAGCACATTCTTATCGAAGGTATCATCTGTCAGTTCAATCACATCCTTTTTGCTGGAGCCTCCACTTTCATGACTGCTCTATTATTTTAAAAGAAACATGCAAGATATTTAGTGCTACAGTGTTTATTTCAATTCTAATTATTGGTTATAATAAATGAGTGCGTGCTTTCCAGTCAAAAACACTAGCATAGAAACTTATATGTAATCAATGAAAATAACCCATTTCTGCCTGAAATCATACAATCCGTACAGGATGGAAGATGAAAAAGCGAATTCAAGCATGAATTATTCAAATATGAGTTTTCCAACAATGAACATTGGATAGCTTAGTGGAACTAGTCAGCAGAGCTTCACTCTATTCCAGTAGATGTATATGTGTGTCCTGAGAATGGGGAATTAATTAATTTATTTAAAAGACTTATATGGCTGCCCATCTGAGATCTATACAGCCCAGAAGCCCTGTCTTCCGTAATGAGGCTCTTTTAATTTGTTTATAGCCATGATTTTTTAATTTTAATTTTTAATTTTTTAATTTTTATTAAAGAAATTTTTAACAAGATAAAAATAATACAACTTTTAGAAAAGAAATAAAAGAAAAATAGTGGATAAGAAAATAAAGAAAAAAGAAAGAAAAAGAAAAAGAGAAGAAAGGAAAAGATTATAAAGAAGTGGCTTCTAATCTTCTTAACAGTGGTTATAAGTGCATTTACATTTTACCCTCATCATAATTTCCTTCTTTCCATAGTTTACCCTTTCTAATCCTCAAACCCATAAATCACAAGTTCATTTTTTTTCTTTCTTCAGCAAAAAGTCCATAAGGGGGTTCCAGTCACTAAAAAATGAAGTTATTGTCCTTTGTGCTGTTCATTAACTCTCCAATACACCCTATCCTTCTACTGCTATTGTCCACCCCCTCTTTATTCTGATAAGTGCAAACTACCTTTTTTGCAAAATTTGCTACATTTAAATGAGCAAGCCTGTTGTCCTGCTAAATTTCTCACCCCTGCCATAAAATAAGTCCTTCTTAAAGCCATCATTCAAATCCTAGAGTTACTAGTTATCCGCTAACAGCCTGCTCGGAATATATGCTTGGAAAGAATGAGCCTCTGCAATGAGCAGGAGGCAAGGCCTAAAAGGGGTACCTGTTTTCCAGAGCTGTATCCACCACCTCTGCCACTAAGACGATCTTTTACAAGTGACCGGACAGCACTTAGAGCAGCATCAACGATAGCATCACTAGTCCTGGCTCCTGAGACACAAAACAAAGACAGAATGCTAAGCAATCATTAAGACTCCACATATATCATTTATGTATTCTTTCCAGCAGCAGTATCCACCCATTTCAGCACTTTTAATAGGAGAGGGGGAAACCCCCACAATTGGGCAGCTGCTTGAAGCACTGTGGTGCTGCACCAGGAGAAATCACTGGAAGCTTCAGTCTTGAACCGGAAACCCGGGTTTTAAGTAACCAGTATGCTCCCTGTGACAGGGGTGGAGAACCTGTGCCTCTGGATGTTACTGAACTACAACTCCCACCCAGTTCAGCCAGAAGTGAGGCATACTGGGAACTGTAGTTCAGCAGCATCTGGAAGACCACAGGTTCCCCACCTCTGCCCAACAGCATATATTTGGTTGTTCGGCCAAATCTAATGCAGCCGCAAAAGCAGGAAATACATCTCATTTAAATTCTTGAGAATTTCATGTCACAAAAAAGGACCCAATATATTACAGCAGTCAGTCTTTTCTACTTAAGTAGGCTTTAAGTTGTGAACAAGAGAAAAAGATCAGTTTTGTTCAAGATGCACATCAGTAAAATAATGTGAGGGGACGTGGTGGCGCAGCGGCTTAATGACGCTGAAAGTTGCCGGCCAGAAATGGTCGACGCTTCAGCGGTTCGAGTC